TAACGTGTTAGGTAGGAAAAGCAGTAAAAAAGTGCATATTAAGGGAGCAGATTTGAAATAATATTTATACTTAACAAGAAATAATTAAAGGTAAGTGGATTTTTGAATGATACAATTATATCATGATCACTTAACAATTTTAACTTAAAATTAGATGTATTATTACAAGCTTTTATTTAGCTTGCGTTATGTAAATAAAAGTATGTAGGTATGTTCGTATGTTGATGCAATTATCCTCAATCCTCAACCGACTGGGATAAAATTTTCCATACACGTTTATTTTGGATGATAGTGCATAGTTAGCTGAGAGTCGTCATTGGATAATAATGGTGGATAGCCTAAGATGTGTACTAGATATTTATTTTTAACATAATATGCGTAAGTACCTAATCGAATTAAAGAAGTTGCTGAGAAAAATACAGAACAATACGATAATAAACTAGCGTCTGCGTTTAATCCTCCGAGGAGATGTAATTTTACAAAGGTTTTTTGTATTTATTTTATTATTTTTTTAATAAATTTATTGTAAATAACAAGAAATAATCATTGTAAAAAAATAGGCACTCTATTGTTGAATTTTCGTCAGACCAACTAATCATCGTTCATTTTTTTAGGTTCAATGAGGAGACCTAAAGATTTACGCATATGGGAGCACTACCGTACTTTACCAAACAAGTCTGTTTCTTGCAAGCTTTGTAATAAGGTCTACAAATTCAGTAATGCTGCCAAAATGCTTCAACATCTTATCACTTGTACAAAATCTCCAGAAACATTAAAAGACTCTATGAAACTTATAAAAGATAGCTCGTCCAAAACCAAAATGTCTGGACTGTCAGAGATAGAGACAAATGATTCTTTTATAAGCCCCTCGTCGTCTGCTAACACTACAATAAATGCTGAGTTTCAAGACACCGATGATCATATAAAAACAGAATTAGCGAGAGCTATATTTGTAACAGGGACGCCATTATCGATGGTGCAACATCCTTTATGGATACAATTTTTCGAAAAATTGCAACCAAAATTTAAAATACCTTCACGTAAAGCTTTAGCGACAAAATACTTAGATAAAATATATAGAGAAATGCGTTTTGAGTTAAATGAGGAACTAAATGCTTGTAGTTACTTACACCTTCAGTGCGATGGCTGGTCTAATTTAAGAAATGAAGGAATAATAAACTTTCTTATATCAAAACCTCAACCTGCATACGTTAAAAGTTTGAATACAGAAAGTAATCCTCACACTAGTGAATACCTTAGCCAAGAAGTTGAAAAAGTAATGAAAGTGTATGGAGCAAATAAGTTTCTTGTACTTATTGGCGATAACGCTAGAAATATACAAAAGGCATTCGAATTAACAAAACTCAAATATCCACATGTTGTTCCTCTCGGTTGCTGTGCACATATCCTTAACTTGTTGTGCCAAGATATTGTAAAGATACAAGAAGTAACTGTGTTTATTATGCAAGCCATAAATATAATAAAAACTGTTAAAAGGAGTCAACGATTAAGTTCCTTGTTGATAAAATCAAGGCAGGGTGAAGATTCTACACAAACACTAAAATTGCCTTGTGCTACAAGATGGGGAAGTCATGTTACTTCGTTAAAAAGTTTGAAAGCAAATAAGATAGCTTTGCAAATATTAACAGTTAGAGAAGATGTGGTAATTTCAAGAGATATTAAAGATTTAATTCTAAGTGATGATTTCTGGACGAAGACAGGGGAATGTGTAAGTATTTTGGAACCAGTCACTGAAAGCATATTTTACTTAGAGAGCGACCAGAATCGTTTGCATCGCACATACATTACATTTAGAGATGTACAAGCTAAGATACATTTTGCATTAAATGAGATTTCGACATTGAGCGAAGAAAGCAAACAGCAGATTCTAACATCAGTATCTTCAAGATGCAATATGGCAATGAGGCCAATACATTTTGCAGCATATATTCTAGACCCCAGGACTCTAGGAGTCGAACTTACTCAAGAGGAAGAACTTAAGGGTATGGAGTTTATCTACAATTTAAGCCAACACTTAAGTTTGTCAAATGTAATGGCAGATTTGGCGTGTTATAAAGCTAAAGAAAACTTTTGGGCCAGAGGATTTGTATGGAGCTCATTAGATAGCATTGATATGGTGGAAAGGTATTTGTGGTTCCACTGAGTTAAGCAAAGTAGCGATTCGTATTCTATCAGCTCCCTGTACTTCGGCAGCCACTGAGCGTTCCTTTAGTATCCAAGGCTACATACATAATAACAAAAGAAATCGACTTACAACTGAAAGAACTGAAAAAATTTCATTCATTTGTTATAACTGGAATCTTAAACATAAAGCTGAATGCGAGGACATTCAGTTTAATGAAGAAAATACCTTAGAAGCTTTCATTGAGCAAGTAAATGAACATAACAGTTTAGACGAAATAGAGCCTATCGAACCTATACAATTCATCGCTTGTAATAACTCTGAATCTGACAGTGATTGACTGTAGTTTTACATTTTACTTTCATCTCTTTCTTAATAAACTCAAAATCAAATTAAAAGTTTTTTATTCTGTAGGCTGCATAATAATATTGTCTATGTCCAGTATAGTGGACGTCTTGCGGCTGAGATGACGATGATGAAGTACAAAATCATAAACACCCAAAAATTTGGGTGTTTATGGGGTTTAAACCCAATAAACCCAAAACACCCGGTTTTTACCCACCAGACTTTAAACCCACCCAGGTGGATTGCCCATCTCTAATCACTGGTGCCCCGCCAGATAAACCGAGAGCGCAGACGGGGTTACCATACCATTATCACCCATTAAAAAAAACTGCGGTTGCTAACCCGCCTGTCAAGCGAGGCAACTATTGGCAAAACACGAGAGGACTATGGCAGTGGATAGCTGAACGGTAGCGGAACGAACAGTAACGGCTGAAATAATTATATATAATAATGGCACGTTTATATAATTGCAGACTTTTTTGAAACGATTATCCGAGACGGAGTAGGATCCAATGCAGTGAACATACGAAACACTATGACATACAGACAGAGACATTATATTACAGACGTTATATGACAGAATATTAATGCGACATCAAATATAGGGTTGCATTAATGTAAAACAAAATGCAATTTAATTATATTTAATTAGAAATTATAATCATTATATCTAGAAGTAAAAAGAATGTTAAATATTTATGCACCTACTAGAATTCATAATAATCATCTTTTAACCGTTATCCGTCCACTGCTGGACATAGGCTTCCCCAAAGACTGCCATAAGGAATGGTCCTGAGCCACCTGCATACACTGACTCCTTGCAATGCATTTGAGGTCGTCACATCTAGTGGGGAGTCATCTTACACTGCGTTTGCCCGTACAGGGTCGCCACTCAAGAATCTTTCTTTCCCAGCGGTTGTCGGTTCTTCGAGCTATGTGACCAGCTCATTACCACTTCAGCTTGCTTATCCTTCGGGCTATGTCGGTTACTTTGCTTCTATTGCGGATACCCTCATTTTGAATTCTATCACGCAAAGAAACTCCGAGCATGGCACTCTCCATAGCTGAGCAATTTGTAGATTTTGCATACTGGCAATCGTATAAGACCATGTTTCGGTTCCATAATACATTACTGGCAACACGCACTGGTTAAAGACTTTCGTCTTCAAACTCTGAGGAGTATTTTGGATGAAAAAATGTGGCGTAGTTTTTCGAATGCTGCCCAGCCGAGTTGAATTCTCTCGATTGAAGTTAAATGTATCCATTCGGGCCACTTGTCCCAGGTATACGTACTCATCGATAACTTCGAGCGTAGTGTTCTCAATCGTGACCTGTACAGGTGTGACATGGACTTTAGAGATGATTTTAGTCCATCTACATCTTAAGACTTACCTGTTGAGAAATACCATTGAGGTCATAGAGCATAGTATTCAGATCCGCCAGGAATTCCGCCATGATGATTATGACGTAATAATATATTACATAAAATGTACATGTAATATAATTGATAATTGAATAAAAGGAATTTTAAGTATTAATGTCACATATTTATTTGCCGTGTGGTCCCTGCATAGAACGGATCATCTCTTTCTTTCCCGTGGATATCGTAAGAGACGACTAAAGGAACTTAATGATCGAGGGAGAAGCGTTCTTTTTTAAACATCACCAAAGCCTAACTGCGATTGCCAGACTGCCTGCCAAGCATAGCGATTACAGGCAAAGCTCCCCAATAGGGGAGTTTTGCCTGTAATCGATAATAATAATTTAAGGCGGGCCTGTGTTTCTGCTTCTAGAGTATAATGTCAGAAGTACAGATACAGGCCTACCCTACTTCCTCCTTCAGAGGGGGTGGAGGGGCGTGGTCTTGAGGGAGAGCGCAGAAGTCGTGTAGATCCTCAAGGCAAGTGCGGTAGACTAGCCTTCACGAGGTTGCCGCCTTGTTATTGGTCTAGTTCCTTAAGAAATAGACGTAACTAAAACTGCCGTGCGTCCAATGCAGGGATGGAGAGGTCATGTCCTTGCGTGTTCATCATCAAACAAGACTGATGGTGGATAGTAATGACCTCCCGCGTGTTTGTGCCGTGCGCGGAGACGCGTACGGAGGGATGAAGGAGTCCTGGAGATTGAGTGCAGCAGTGTGCCGGCGGTAGTTGTACGCTGCTCACAACACATCTCTTCGGTCTGGATTTCCTCTCAAATGGGCGGTCGTGGAGTAGCTAACCACGATCAATCGGCTGCGACATCCCATAAGCGGGTTGTTAAGCGAGGATCGGCGATTTGGGGAGGGGTAGTCGGCGCGGCACGGCGTCTCGAGGTAGAGCCTATGGTATTGTCTCGTGCCGTAGGTGCGCTCTTGATGCTTTGCTGCGTGCAGATTCACCTTCTTCTCAAGTTGCTGAGCCTATACCAAGGGAGTAACTCTGGCGATTATTCGTAGAACGAATGACGTCCCCGACGTGAGGGCTCCGTGGCGGGTGGAGAGCTCCTGAGGTGAATAAAACCAAACAACCTCATGGACAATGAGACAAATAACGAAACAACAAAACCAACATCACAGGCTGCGTCATTGGATGCGCCTGAACATCAATTACCAAAGGCTGCGTCGTCGGATGCGCCTAAACATTCAGAACAAACGGTTGCGTCTCAGGATGCGCTTAAGCGACAACCGCTCAAGGCTGCGTCCTCCGATGCCCCTAAGTCTAAAAATGCAAATGATGCGCCGAAGAAGGCTGCGTCCAAGGATACGATGAGGAAGGTAGCGGTACGGAATGCGCCTACCCAGGCAGCGTTCCGAGATGCACCATCCACGTCGTTGTCCAAGGATGCGCCGTGCAAGGCAACTCCCTCTACCCGACCAAGGACGGCTACTACAACGGTGGAACCAAGGAAAGACGCACTCCGAGATGCGCCAATTAAGGCTGCGTCAAAGGAAGCGTCCTCCAAGGGAAAACCAGTGGTGCTGACCGAGGCTGTGGCGGAGGGTTTGTCTTCAAAGGCTGCGTCAGATGCAGAAATAGACTATCCAACGATGGATATGTCATCCCTTAAGGATGCCATACAATCACCATCAGACTCAACCTGGAAAACAATAACAAAACCAATGTCGGCCTCTAAGAAGCGGCGCCTTAAAGCCAAAGCGAAGGCAGCGGCACAACGTGCATTGGCAGCAGATGCTGCGAGGCAGATCGCGGGATCGGGTTCTCGCCCAGTGGAAACCAAACCAGTAGGAGAGGTAACATTGGGCGGGCCCTCGGCACCTGCGTCTGTCGGTGCCAGTGCTACGCCTTCCACAGGCATACGCAAGCGCAGCATGAAACCAAGAGGTCGAAAGAAATCAGGTAATAATCAACAAAAACCAGAGCCGAGGGCGCAGAAGCGTGCACGTCCAGAGGATTCTGTAACACCGACTGGGGTTGGTAAAAAACCCAAAACCAACAAACCCCGAACGGTGAGAGGAACCGCTGCGTCGTACGCTGAAGCGGCCGCAACCTTCATCGCTAACGAGCTCTGCGTTGCTGTTATGATGGAACCCTTCTCTGACATGACGCAAGAGCAAGCTGAAGGTATTCGGCAAGAAATAGAAGGCAAGCTTCGGGATGAGCTCATGGCGGAACCGGATGCTTCCCTTGAAACTGAACCAAACGATATAAGGTTCCGAGGCCGAGCACATTATGCGGATGGCGTCCTCAAAACCTGGTGCGAGGATGCTTTCACGCTAGCCTGGCTTAATCGGACCGTTCAAAACATGGCCTCACCGGTAGCTAATTCAAAATTGGTTGTCAGGCCACAATCAGCTATCCCAAAGAAAGTACCGTGTCTGCTATTCGTACCGGGTCATACTGGCGATTCAGCTGCACTACGGAAGCTTTTGGCGCGGCAGAACCGCAACTTGAACATTAACTCCTGGACACTGACACACGAGAGGGCCAGATCGGATCCCCCAGGAACCTGTCTGTTCTTCCGGGTGCCGGAAACGGATGCTAATCTGTTAAAGGCCCAGGACAGAAGATTATATTACCTCATGGGGAACATTTATATTCGGTTTCTGGATAAAGATGTTTCCCCACAACCCAATACAAACCCCACGCAACAACCGGAGGAGGCGCGAACCTTGACGCAGAGCGCGGCACCTAAGCCGACATTGTCGACGAGGGAAGCTGCGACCGTGCCTGGGCACGCGGAACCCCCGATTGCGATGGAAGTGCAAAATCTGCCTTCTCCGAGATCTATCTCGGATGAAGAGTGCTTTCCGGAAGGGGGGGGAGAGAGTGAAACCAGCGATGGTGTCCTCTACTCCTCCCCTCTCCGGGAAGACTAAAATCATACAGATCAACCTCCAGCACAGCCAAACTGCAACGGCTTCCTTACGCAGAGTGCTGGAAAACAACACACAGACCATATCACTGATCCAAGAGCCGTGGATCAGGAAAAACAGGATATGTGGTCTTGGAAACAGCGGAGGAAAACTTCTTCTAGACACCTCCGTAAGTAAACCGAGAACATGTATACTAGTACCGAAACATGTACCAACATTACTAATCAACGAATTCTGTTCAAGGAACCTGACAGCAGTCAGATTAACTAGGACAGAACAGCATCTCCCGGATATTGTCCTTGCCTCCGCATACCTGCCGAGCGACGAGGACATACCAACTCCGGAGCTCAACCTATTGGTCGAGTTTTGTGAGAGGAAGAAGCTGGATCTGGTCATCGCTGCCGACTCCAACGCGCATCATACCCTTTGGGGTAACGGCAAGTGCAATAACAGAGGTGAGGAAATGCTGCATTTTATTTTTAGTAATAACCTTACTCTAATTAACAAAGGTTCTGAACCTACCTTTATAAACGCTCGATCACAAACTATTATAGATTTAACTCTAACGACTGTTGGTATTTCGGAATCTGTTTGTGACTGGCATGTATCCAATGAAATATCATGCTCAGATCATAGATGGATTCGATTCTCCATTAATATGGAGTTACCCAAACCACAGCCTAGACGTATACCTCGAAGGACTGACCAACATAAATTTCTTACACTGGTCAGGGAAAAATTTGACAATCAACTGCCACTACTAGACGATTTAGCGGTAACAGATCTGGACGATAGTGCAAACTACATCACGTCCATTTTAACCTCAAGCTATGAACAGTCCTGTGCCCTAACCACACCACAGTATGGGGGGAGGCAACACTGGTGGTGTCCAAAATTGGAAAGACACCGTTGTAAGTTAAGGAAATTGTTTAACATAGCCATGAACAAACGGTCACAAGAAGACTGGAATAAATACACAACATCCAAAAAACAATATAAGAAACTCATACGCCAGAGAAAGCAAGAATGCTGGAGGCGTTTTTGTACAAATATAGAAAACAATAACCAGGCGATTAAAGTAAAAGCATGTCTCTCTAATGAGAAAGATCATACAATAGGTTGCCTCAAGAAACCTGATAATAATTATACAAAGAACGACACAGAAACAACCGAATTGCTACTAACCACACATTTTCCAGGATTCCAGACTACTGCGGAGTGGTCATGGGAACCATACAAGGAAAGGGAAACCAGTAGCTCGGACTGGGAAGTAGCAAACAGAGTTATAGATAAAGAAAAACTACTATGGTCAATCAGTACCTTTCTACCATTTAAAGCGGCAGGCCTGGATGGAATATTTCCAGCCCTTCTGAAATGGAGCGGGAGCGTCATAGCTGACTACTTAGTACAGCTGTTCCGAGCGTGCATAGCTCACCGTTACATACCTTTGAAATGGCGTGAGGTAAAAATTATATTTATTCCTAAACCAGGTAGAGGAGATTACACTGTGGCCAAATCCTTTCGACCCATCAGTCTCACCTCGTTCTTTTTGAAAACTTTGGAGAGACTATGTGACAAAGAGATTAGATGTCAAGTCTCTCTGTGCAAACCTTTACATCCTAACCAACATGCTTACAGTGAAGGCAAGTCAACTGAATCAGCACTTCATAACGTAGTATCCCGAATAGGCAATGCATTGCAATCGAAGCAGCCAACCTTAGGTGCATTTATAGACATCGAAGGGGCATTCGACAAAACAAACTTTGCCAGTATAGGTCGGGCACTAGCTACACATGGAGTAGAAATAACACTTAGAGAATGGATACATAACATGCTTAAACAACGAGCTATACAATTTACTGTAAATACTACCACACGAGGAATCGTCGGTAGGGGCTGTCCACAAGGCGGTGTACTGTCACCACTATTGTGGAATATAGTCGTAAATGAGCTCATAATAGAGCTTAACGATAACAGCCTCTACACGGTAGGTTATGCGGATGATATAGCTGTACTTTTAACAGGAAGCTTCGAAGGTACTCTGTGTGATCGCATGAGAGTAGCTTTTGAAATAATTGAGAGATGGTGCGCACAGCATGAACTCTCGGTTAATCCTACAAAAACAGAATTAATCATGTTCACAAATAGAAGAGTTACATGTCCTTACAGACTACCAAAACTCTTCAATACGGAACTGAAACTTAAGGAAGAAGTCAAGTACCTTGGCATAATACTAGACAGTAAATTGCTTTGGAATAAACATCTTGACTACAAACTTAACAAAAGCACAATTGCATTCTACCAGTGCAAAAAGATGCTAGGAAACAAATGGGGTCTTTCGCCAAAAATAACTCTATGGCTGTACAGAGCTGTAATCAGGCCAATGTTGGTCTATGGTGCACTGGTTTGGTGGCCGAGGACAAAACTATCGACCACCGCCGCCAAACTAAAAAGCTTTCAGAGACTGTTTTGCTCTTCTGTCAGCGGCTGCATGAAAACAGCTCCTACAACAGCAATAGAGTTGGCCCTCAACATAACACCCCTAGACCTGCACATACAGCAGGAAGCGGCGTTAGCCGCTATCCGACTAATGCATCTGGATCTATGGGGTAAAAATCACTACAGTCCCCACACTTCTATTCTGAACCAGGCAATCGAATATTAACCTTTGATTGCGGCTCCGTGTGACAGGACTCATAATCATTATATATTTAACAAAAAATACCAAATACAAATTCAAGAAGAGGAAAAGGACCAATCCGGTGTACATGAATTACGCATATACACCGATGGCTCCAAAACCGAGAACGGTTCAGGAGCCGGAGTCTTTTCCTTAGACCTGAATATAAACGTGCACATACCGCTTGGCGTACACAGCTCAATATTCCAATGCGAATGTGTTGCAATAACCGAGGCTGCTGCAGCTGTACATAAGCTAGGAATAAATGGTTTTAGCATTAGATTCTTATCTGACAGCGCAGCAGTACTAAAAGCATTACGAAACAACAAGACAAACAACAAATTGATAATTGAATGCCACCATTCACTGGATAGGATATCTTCCAATAACCGAGTTATCCTCCAATGGATAAGAGGGCACAGTGGATCTTATGGTAACGATGCCGCAGACGAACTGGCTAGAAGAGGCTCAGGAACGAGGGTGGTAGGCCCGTATCCACTTCTTCCTCTTCCGTTCTCGCAATTTCGAATGTGGATTCGTCAAAGATCCGCTGACATACAAAACCAAAGATGGATACAGGCTACTGATTGCAGACAATCAAAATTGGCCGTACCTACGTTGAATCAACGACTATCAAAACATTTATTACATCTAGATAGAAAAAACCTCAAAATAATGATAGGGACAATAACGGGTCATTGTCCATTAAACAAACATTTATACACAATAGGAGCCACAGACAGCCCTCTATGTCGAGGCTGTTTCGACGCTGAAGAAACGGCTGCTCACGTAATCCTGGAATGTGAGGCTGTGGCCCATCAACGTTTAGAAATCCTCGGAACGGTGAGGTCGCTCCGTGAAGCCTGTGAAGAACCCAGGAAGCTTCTGCGCTTCTGGGCGGAGCTAGGTTGGCTGTACTAGCCACGACTCACACGCACAACGGCCCAAATGGGAGGCTAAGTGCGGAAAACAGAGTCTTTCTTACATTACAATAGGGGAGGTCTATGTCCAGCAGTTGACAGTTAACAGTCGATATAATAAATTATCACCTAAATAATAAGTGAATGAGACAGAGGGAATTTTATTTCAGACTCTACCCCTTGTCCTTGATAATAGATACTTACTCTCTACTCGTATGAGGATGGCGTCCTCTAGTTTCGAGTTTCAATGCCGCCTTCGTTCCTGTGTGATGAGGTGAGATTCCTTCCCGCCGGGAGAGAAGGGATTGTTAATATTGTAATATAATACTAATATATAGGAGTATAATTAATCGCCGTTGTTGCACCTAATACAGTACATTGGAGGGGAAGGGATTGTTAGTAATGGCGAGGTTAATCTTATAGTAGTAGGTTTGCGCGAATTCTGGCTCCCAAAAAAAGCTCATTCGACAAGATTCGTTCCAATTGAAAACGGATTCTATTGAAATACGGAGAGTAGTTTGGTTTGCGCGGAATTTGGCTCAATGGGCGGCGGCCTCACAAAATTTCAGTAACAAACATCCAAATATATAAATTTACAGATTTTCTCATTTATATTTGTAGGACAAGTTTTATACAACTTCGAATAGCAAACAAGCTGACGGCCCACCTGATGGAAAGTAGTAACCGTCGTCTATAGACATGAGCAGTACCATGGACATAACAGAGTATACTGTGTTGCTCATGATGTTCCTCATGTAACGCCATTTCTGAACACTACTATTTCCGAACCGATACGACATCATAACCTTTAAGAAAAGAGCATATTCCTTTTAAAAAGGCCGGTAGCACACCTGCAATGCCTTTGGTGCCGTGAGTGATCATGGGCGGCGGTAGTCACTTACCATCAGGTGAACCGCATGCTCGTTTGCCCCCTGTGTTGTAAAAAAAACTAAGGTGTTACGCTTCTATACCTTGTAATTTCTCTGCAATACGTGTCTTATCTCTAAACGAGACATCTTCAAATTAATAGATCGTTGCTCGGAGCCTAGTCTTAACTGTTCGGTACCCAAACTGAGAAACTTTCGTAAAACATGCATGGACTATATAGCGATCGGGGGATTGATGGCTATTATAGATGATTATAGTTCATAATAATAGTAATCAATCTTCGAGTGTTGGTAGTAGTGATAGTAGCGGAATTAAACAAAATAATTCTAACCAACTTACCAGAAACATGGACTACTGCAAAGTTATACCTAGTTCAGTAAAATATTTACAAACACGTACAAATAAGAGGCTTAGCGCGGAAAAGAGAGTCCAAATTACATTTACATGGACCAAATAATTGTAACCAACTTACCAGTGACATGAACTACCACAAAGTAATAATTAATTAAGTAAAATGTTTACAATCATTGGTCACATCTATAGGCCACGTTTACCATTTTTCATTAGACTGGTTGTCAGCTTGTTTGCCGTTTTAAGTTACATATAAAAAAAATCTAAGTTATACAATAAAAAATATCTACTTATTTACCTGAAAATTTTCATCACCGTAACTACGAAGCTCTGGCTTTTGATTCTCCGATCAAAGAGTCATTGTATATTGTTTGATATTATACTTTTTTCTTTTTTGCCCACTTCAGTCCCTTTATCTCTCGGCCTTGAACCTATCGGGGTTGCGTAATCTTTATCATATTCCAAATTGTAATCAGATAAGTTTCCACAGTCGTCCTTTCTTTTATACAAGAGATATTTTAAACGCGAATACAGTAACAAT